GTCTCTTAAAGAAATGTAAAGCCAAGCATTGTGGCCCACTTGGAATCCTAGCACATGGGGGTTGGGGATGGGAGCAGAAAAATAAGGAGTTCAAGGTCATCTTCCAGCTACATAGTAAATTTAGGTCACTTTAGGCTACATGAGACTTTGTCACAAAAAGAACACAGTAGGCATTGCAACATGCAACATGCAAGGCTGCAGTTCCCACTCTACAGGCTGAGGCAAGAGGCTTATGAGATCCATACCAATTCAGGCTGGATAGTGAGACCCTGCCTCAGAGCACAGAACAGGAGAGTGTAAAATGGTTTGCTTAAGAACAAGATGGAATGAAAGTTAAATCTTATGACTTTAAGCCTTCAAATAGAATAGACACATAAGTAACCTGTGTCAACTGAACATGTTGGAGGACATGTAATGTAATACTGTGACCTCTATATCCAGGCTTGTGTATGTCTTACATATGTATACTACAATGTGTTTTTTCCTCTTTTAGTTCCTTTGTTTTGTTTTGTTTTGTTTTGTTTTGTTTTGTTTTGTTTTGTTTTGTTTTGTGGTAGGATGGAACCAGAGCCTTGGGCTTGTTAGACAAGGGTTCTACCCCTGAGCTGTACTCTAGTGGCTAGAGTTTAGCCCTTTTATTCCTATCTTACAGTTATGAAAATGTGCCTTGAGGTCCTGAAGTCTGTAGAACCAGACCATACATCCTACTCTTTTAGCCGTATAGGGCAGCTAGTCGTGCAGCACTCCAAGACCCTGTTATACCTTGTTTAGACCTAATATTACTGATTAACTGCACTGAATGTTTGTGGCCAGAATGGGACTTAGAAAGTCCATTGTTATATTTAGAAAGAATGTAATTGCATGTACCTAAAACTAAGAAATACATTTGAATTTGTTAATGCATGAATTGGGTTTTAGAGGAAATACAGTTTAATGATAAAAGTGGAATGTTCTCAGGGAATTTAACTGTCTCTTACTTAACTGTATCAACTAACATTATTTTTCCTTCTTTTCTAGCTAACTGCCTTCTATGAAAGCAGTTATTGAAGGTGATCATATTCTTCCAGCCAGAAGACTGAAATATGATTTCTCAAAACTTAACTAAAAAGCTATATTTTACTGAGACACATACACACACTGCGCACACATGCTTGCGCTACCTTCCCCCCTGAAACAATTACAAATCATGGAGAGGTTTTTCTGGGCTTGAAACAAGTTGAACAAAAAGTGATTGGTGAGTAAAGGTGTCCTACAATTCTCCCAGACTTGCTTCATAAAGCTCTTGGCAGTCACACTACATTGCACAGGATTGAGAAGAGTTTGAAGAAATCACATATCAGCTTTAACAGAGGGTTTCACCAGCATATTAGCCAGAAGAGTTTGGGAGTGAATCCCACTACAGTGATGCTGACTGCATCTTTAAGAAGTGACCATGATGTTGTGTTCATGTATGTATATACATATGAGTTGAGCCTCATATATATATACACACACATACACATAAACACATTGTACTGTAATACTGCAAGTTTTTTTAACTTACCATTTTATTTTTATACACATTAATCAGATATCATTATTTCAGTTGCAACTATGCACTTGTATAAAGCCATAATGTTGGAGTTTATATCCTTCATTCATGTACCTGATAAAGAGTTGCATGTTTGTGTAAAAAAAAAACTGTAACAAGAAATTTGAAGTTAATTTTTCCAGTTTCCTAATGTTTAAGGTAGGCAACTTTACCCATTTTGAATGCCTTAATTTAATTTTCTCTCGCTCCTAATCTCAACCTTTTTCTATATTTAACTAAAGAAAAACAAGTGTTTACCAGCTCTTAGGACGCAGCTTGCTTTGTGGGGAAAGTAGTACACTATTTTACGTGTAGTAGTTATATCAGTGTTGGCCTATTTGATGTGTAACGGTTTTTAATGTACTTGGTCATAGAAACAATAATGGATTATATTGAAACTAAATGTGTGTGATGTACATCTGTTACTGTTTTCATCCCTTTCTACAGGCTTCAGCTAGTCTGTGACTATAGAATATTTCCTTTGCTTTGAACTTGCTGGTTTCCCTATATGTGTGTTTATTTATGGTAAGGACAATTTTTCACATTTTCATTCAAGATTCAAAAATTGTCTCAAATATAAGGAAAACTAACATGTACTATGTAGATATATTTTAAATATTTAAATGTGATCCTAAAACAAACACCTGTGTATGGCAGTATTTCAGCTTTGATATCTGGGAAGAAGCAGCCTCAAAAGTGCTTAATTTGATTTTCACTTATGTTAAATGCCGCTGAGGCTAGCGAATGGGTGGGATCTGTCCTGCCATGCTACTGGCCCAGGTAAGTGTGCTTAACCCCACAGCAGAGTATAGCAGTGGGCATCAGGCTCTGTACATATGCAAAGTTCAATATGATATTGAAATGTTTGCCTGATATTTTAGTGAAGCCAGTAGACATTTTTGATTGCTTCCTTCTGGGGTCAGTGTAGAGATGTTGTAAAAAGTTTGGTCCTCATTATAGTTACTATTGTGGAAATAGTGGCTGTTGGCCCACTGATATACTAAATCCAATTCTGTGATCTTCAGATGGCCCAGTTTGCATCTTTCATGCTGTCTGTTAAGATTACGTGTGCATGTCACTTCCCTGGAAGCAGCTGTGCTCTGGTTTGGAATACAACTTGCTTCCTCCCTCCCCTCCTTCCTTCCTTCAGGTTTAAAAATGAAAATATATAAAATTTATATAGAAGAACTATTTCCATTCATTAGAGTTGTTTAAAAGGAGACTGAATTAATATTTTATATAAAGATTTTGTTACTACGGGAGGTTCTATCGTATTCTGAATTGGAGAGTATATATATATATATTTTTAATAAACTTTATTAAGGTGAAATAATGTCAAGTTTACACATGAATAATTGAAGTGTTTGAGTAAAAAAGGAAAAGTTTTAATTTTGGATGCTGTCCGTGTATATATGTATAAGAGTTTGGAGAATCATAGTGTGATGAAACTGTACAAGGCAATTAATGTGAAGGATTCAGGGGAATAAAACATTCTGAGGGGTGAAAAAAATCTCTCCATAGAGCATCTTCACATACTGTTTAATAGGGATTTAAAGGTTATTTGTCCAGCTGTCAGAATTCCAAGTAAAAACCACATGACCTTAGAGAAGTATTTGCTGCTTCTGCTGTCATTTGCATGTACGTGGGTGCATGTACCTGCCATTTTCTCTCCAACCCAACAGTCATTACAAGAACAACCTAATTTTGTGCCAGCTTCCTTTTTTCTTGAGGTCTCCAATCCTTGAAGATAAATGTGTATCAGCGCAAATACTGCTTCCTTTGTTCGGTCCCCCAGAGCTGTAAATACTTGCATTTGGGACCTAAAAGAGGGAATGCTGGGTTTCATTAGTTGGATGCTATTCTTTTGCTTTGTGGAAATAAAAAAGACATAAGTTAAAAAAAAAATTAAGTACCAGTATTGTTGAATTGAATTAATGTAGAGTTAAATATGCATTAATTTTCAGTAACATCTAAAAGCAAGATTTAAAAAAAAAAAAAAAAAATCTGTGATCCCAAGGGAAGGCTGTTTGTGGCCAGCCTTTGAGCCCTAGAGGGACTTTTCAAGTCTCAGTTCATGTGTAGATCCTAGTGAGACATGCTCGAGGCTGCCAAACCAACTGAAAATGTCATACTGCTGCTGTCAGTCTGTTAGGATTCCCAGGGTGAAGGAAGAGAAACTCAAACACTAATTAACCTTATAGAGATGGTTTAAGCAGCATGTTGAAGCCCCCCATTAAAGCAAGTGGCTTTTGAGCTTCTCAGACCCCTGACTGCTACTGATTCTCTTTTTTGTCTGAAGATGACTTCAGCTCCCCTGGCTCGTGGAGGTGCCACAGCCAATGTTAAAGCACTTTGACAAGCACTGTGTGACAGTGCTGAGTGTTGTTCCCTGAGACCTCGCCTTGCTCCCTTCCCTGTGGTGACTTTTGTTTGGAACTGTAATAAGTTATAAACTGCATGATTTAGAGAGTCATCTTGGACCACCCCCTTCCCCCAACCAAAAAGTTCATCCCCTCTTGATTTATTTTTTATTTTGTTGCATCTTTGTAGTAATGTAATTGTATTTTTATGCCTGCTTTTTGTTTAAAAAATAAATAAAAGAAACTAAGATGTAAGCATCTTTTCCTGTGAAATAGTTGTGGAGTGCTGCAGCTTCTTAACCTGTCTCCTTAAAGGATGCTAATAGTAGATGAAGTGGTGCCATCATACTAAAATCACTTCTGCCTCATTTCCTAGAGAGTTTAGTTCTAGAGTCCGCCTCTGGTTCACTTTGGGTATGCAGGCTTAAACGTCTGTTTCTAGGTGAGTGTAGAGGGCACAGAGTGCCTTTCTGTCTGAAAATAGTATGATGGATACTTTTCTAGAAGGTGCCTTACTGGGAATCTGTGGCTGCCTTTTGTTCTGGGGTTGAGTATTCTGCAAACTGGAGACTCTGTCTACTTGTTGGTTTGCAACACAATGGTAGTGTGTGTGAGATAGCTGCAGTAACTCAGATGTTCCTTCCAAAAGTGGGGAAATGACCAGTGGTGGGGATGCATGCTGGTAAACACGCTGAAGAGATGAGGGCAGAAAGATGAGTCTGAGGCCAGCTTGGGCAACTAAAGGGGAAGGTTTTGGGTTTTGTTGGTTGGTTTTTGTTATTTTTATTTAAAGGAATCACTTTAAGTAGTGATAAAAGTCCTGTTGGAGTAAAGACTACAGTTTATATTACATTAATTAATAGGTTAATGGTCTGATTGTCAGTATGTGTGAGGAAAGATGAACTTGGGTTTTGTTTCCTGGCACTGGTTGAAACAACCATAGAATGATTGATGTTTAGATGTAGTATTTCTTTCTTCCGGGTCCAGGGCAATTGACCTAACAAGATTAGCTGGCTTGCTAATGAGTTATACCTACCTAACTGAAAATTCATGACAACTTAAAGACTCAGTGGAGTTCAACAAATTAAGTTTATTAAATATAGAAAACTAAACATTTTCTAGTAAACATCATTTACTTTGTTGCAGTATACCAGAGTAAGTGACATTCACATAGAAGAAGAAACTGAGCTTTTATAGGTTGGATATATAAAACATCAGAGGAAGTACTGCAGACAACAATGTTTAGGATATGCTTAGAATATTCTTACTTTAGTATGAATAAAATCCCTAAGAATTGGATAGGACATAGCAATAATCTTTACTGTATGTATACCTTCCAGTAGCTAAAACTAAACTAAGTTCCAGCAGTGGTAATTGTGAGATACAGCCCTTTAAAAAATGGTGACATTGTGCTTAAGTGGAGAGACTGTTGAGATTTCCTCATCTAAACAGATGGGGCTCTGCTTAGGAACTCCCTAAGGCACACTGTGTTGGAGGACTGCTTAGTATATGAACCCAGTAACATCTCTGCATACTTTGATAGCCCTGCTTGGCTTGAGAGGATGTTATACTGCATTATGACATACAAGGCCAAGCCCTAGTTTATGGAAGAATTAAACTGTCCAAGTGTGAACAGTTCCACTTCTGACCGACCAGACCCCACTTTATTGTGGGAAGACTACTTAATATTCTGAAAGCCACAGCTGTAGATATAACTGGCTCTTCAGGGAACTTAATCATGACTTTAAGTGTGAAGATGGCTTCTTGGGCAGGTTCCATCATTTGTGTTGTCAAAGTCAGGTGTGGTGGTCCACTCTAGTCCAGCACTCCCAGCACTCCCAGGGCTCAGAAGGCTGATGGAGGATCACAGGTTGGAGGATAGCTTGGGCTAAGTATTGAGACTTTACGGTGCAGGGGCAAAAACCACATACAACCCAATCTAAGCCCTCCCATAACCTACGGGAGTAGGGGAAGGAGGTTGACATTTTCAACAAGTGTCTCTTTCCCTCCCTCCTTGTCTTCCTTCTCTGAGTTTGCTGTGTAGCCCAGGCTACCTCAGACTCCCAAGTGCTGCGATTATAGGTTTGCACTTCCATATTCAGCTCAGTGGCTTTTTCAAGTTTAACAAACCTGATTTAAAGTTTCTGAAATGGTTGACTAGTAAAAGATTTTAAATGTAGCAATGAAAAGCAATGTGTCTGGTCCAGTTATTTGAAGTCCACTGTGTGTAGAAAGAATACATCCATCATTCAGCTTTGGTGACAGACTTCTGGTAGCGAAGTACAGTTGCTGTTACCCATATATTTAAAGCCAACATGATCACAAAACGTATAAGAACTGAAATAAATGAAAAGAAAATTCCAACGTTAAAAAAGCTGGACATTATACTGCTTTAATTAGAAGCCTATGTAAAGTTTCACCCCAACCCCAGACAAAACAATGAGTGAGAACATTGGTTCTAGACATATCTAGCTAGGAAGAGGACTTTCCTGTAGAAATGCCCACCTGGGCACTCAGCCATACATCCTAAGTGTTTCATTGAAGTAATATGGCTCTGGCTAAGAAGTGCATCTAAGACCCCTTTGCTTATGTCTCAAGGACATGGCTGTCTCAAAATGCTGCATTTTACGAAGACCACTCTAGTAAAGTGGTGGGCCCTGCTTATGGATCCATGAAGGAGGCTGAGGGAGGAGGTCTGCTTGAGGCCCAAGTGAAAAGCCAACCTGGGCAGCACAGCAAAGACTGCATCTCATGAAACTATACCTGAGAAATCAGGCCAGTGTCAGTACATGTTGTATAATGAAGTAGCCACTTAAAAATGTGACTGAGAGATTATGAGAACAGTGGCCTGACTTGCGCTGTAAGACATGGAGGCTGTGTTTGTTTTATGACAGGTCTCTCTGACTCAAACTCTGTAGCTGAGGATGGCTTTATACTCCTGATTCTCCTGCATCTGCATCCCAAATGCTGGGATTACACTTTTAGACACATTGAGAATTGAAGCCAGAGTCCCCTACATGCAAGGCAAGCCATTTTACCAAATGAGCTACATACATATGGCATAGTAGCACTTTGGGGGGGTTGGGGTCGTCTTATGTAGCCCTGGCTATCTTGGAACTTTTTATGTAACCAGGTTTGCCTTGAATTCACAGAAATCAGCCTGCCTCTGCTTCCCCAGGGCTGGGACTACAGGTGTGCACCGCCACATCCAGCAGGCCACACTGTTTTTAAAAGCTAGTCAGGAACAGGGGTGACAGATGGGAAGCTGCCTACAATGGGAACATTCTTGGTCTTTTAAATACAGGCTTTATATGTGTAGGTTCTTTGCTGTTAAATTGTGTTCCCTCCTGTGAACTCAAGTCCCACAGGACAACAAGGCCTGTCTCCTTTTCCCGTCACTAAAGTCAGAGCTGACAAAAGTACAACCTTCCAAACGGGACTTCGGTCTTCTAAAGCTTGCTTTCCCAATGAAAGGTCTAGTGCTGAGGACCTTTACCACTTACTGGGTAGGTTTCTGTTTTGTCACTTTTCAAAGATGTTGTGTTAGGAGGTGAGAACAGCCTGAAGGATTAATCAGTCCCTTTCAGTTAGGCATAGTATTTTCTTAGCTTTCTTGCATGTGTGTGCTCAATGCTTTAAAACACAGTTGGAAGTGTCTTTCAAAGACATGTCTTATTTCTTGTCTCTCCTGGCCCCTGCCAGCCTCCCAGTCTCCCAGCTTCCTGCTCCCCGTGTCCTGAACTACTTGGTATGCCCAGCCCTGGGCATGTTGGGTGTTACTCCTCTGATCAAATCCTTATTTAGCTTTTAAGACCTTGCTCCCCTGCAGATTCTGCTCTCAGCTCCCTCAGTATAAGAGGGCTCTTTGAGCTACCTGACCCTTGGTCTCTCTCTGGTCTTTGGTTTTGGAGACTGTTTGTCCTAGGCAGGCCTAGCTCTTTTGCCTCAGCTGCTTAAGTGTGTGGGACTACAAGTGCATGCCACCACACCTATGCCCTATTCTGAAAACCCATTTCACAGTGTAATTCAGCAGTTAATTGTGGGATTCCTGTCCAATTTCCTTGTTGAAGTAGAAAATCCAGGGTGAGAATTGACTCCCTTGGGTATGTTCCTCCCCAAGGATTTCGAGGAGTGGGTGCTTAATAGAGACAGCCAGCACTGCTGAGGACTAAATGCATATTATTTTGTCTTTGAATCTGTAGCCCAATTCAGTCAACTGCATCTGTTAAGCCTTAGGAAGATTCCATGTGGAGACCCACATCTCACCAAAAAATGCAAATAGGAAGTTAAAAGTTTTTACTTACTTGTCAGGTCATTGGTGGTCATTAAAGTTGTTATTATTCTTGCTGTAAAAGAAAATTCATAGCAATAACTTAGTTCTCACACATTTTGGTATTTCTATTTAGCACATGCCTTTCCATCTTACTATAACAATATATACTAACTTCTTGAGTGACATTGATGGGATCCTTATTAATACTGCGTTGTGTAACCAATGATAAGCCATGTATCCTGACCTAGGCATGTAGAAGCTGCACACAAAGGCAGAACTGATTTGTAACAGTAGCTGAGCACTGCCAGGGAGGGTTCCAATCTCTCCTTATGCCTACCCTAAAAAAGGAAAAAACCTTAAAAGTCTCATTTGCATATTGAGCTTCCAGGCATTTTAACTGAAGAAAGAGTCCACTAATTTAAAAGTGAGTGTGTGTGTGTGTGTGTGTGTGTGTGTGTGTGTATACATGTGCACACACACATACATATTACAAAGATATAAGTAGATAGGCTGGAGAGATGGCTCAGTGGTGAAAAGCACTGTCTTCTTTTCCCGAAGACCTGGGTTCAATACCCAACACCCACGTGGGGGTATATAACCCTAGTCCCAGAGGATCTGACCCCTTTTTTGGAATGTGGGGGCACCAGGTATGCATGTGGTAGTACACATACATCAATTTAGGCAAAACACCAATATACATACAAATTTTAAAATGTTTTAAAAACCCTATGTTTTGAGACAAGGTCACAGTGTACTACTGCTTGGCCTTGAACTCCCAGAGATCCACTTGCCTGTTTCCTGAGTACTGTGATTAAAGGTAAAGCACTACCACGCTTGGCAAAATTCTTTAATCATTAAACTCCACCTCATTTTTCACAGGTAAGAAAACTAAGGCTTGGAGAAAACAAGCTTTTCCAATCTAACCAATGTTTTGTGGGGTTTGTTGTTGTTTAGTTCTTTTTCCATTAACAACCCTCTGTAGTGAACAGGACCCTAGGTAACAGTTGAAGCCAGTACTCAGTCAGCTGTAGACTGCATTACACCCCCTTGTACACAAAGGTACCCTTAGCAGGTTCTGTTGAATAATTATAAAAATATTCGTATGAAAAAGACCTCAGACAGTTAATACCAGGAAGATGCTGATATTGATGAGACCCAGTCCCCAGAGAGTGGTTATCTTACTTGCACAGGTGTAGGCAGAGAGGCCCCAGGTCATAGCGCTCACAGCTCCCGAATCTTGTACCTTCCACAAATACTGGAGCTGGGCAAACTTACTGGCTGCACTAATGACTGTGCATAGGTTCTATTATGGATAAAATGAGAGAGTCAGAAACCTAAAAAGATAAATGACTGGGTATAGTGCTTTGCTTATTTTTTATTTATTATTATTATTATTATTTAAATTTTATTCTCTGGAGAGGGGACACAACTCATGGGAGCCAGTTTTCTTCCTACCATGTGACCCTGCAGATCGAACTCAGGTTGTCAGGCTTGGCAGTAAGCACCTTTAACCACTGAGTCATCAGCCCAGATACAGTGCTTTCTAAGCCAGATTTTCAAGGTTCACCATCCCCAACCTGTGAAGGTTTGAAACCTCAATTTGGTGAAGAATGACTCTCGGCTGCCTCTGTGGTAGGGAGTGAATTAGCCAGAGCTAATGGAAGAATCACAGACCTGGCTGCAGACTCACTTTTCCCCTACTCTCCTGAGAAGAGAGGTGCTATATCCTGGGATGGCACTTAACTGATCAACTTCCAAACTAGCCACAGGAGCCTTGTGTCTGTTTCCCATCCTGAGTGCCCTGTCTTTTGTTACCTCTCAGAAAAGAAAGCCTTGCAAATTGTCTATCAACCCATCAGACCCCATCTCCACAGCAGCTTCTAGGCTCAGACAGGCCAAAAGGAGGCCACTGCAGTCACTCAGACTGAGAAGGGTGGCCTGAGCAACATTCAAGAAATCAGAACATATTCAGAAGGACCACAGAAAGTGATGTGTTTGAAAGCCAGGTGAGAGAACCAAGTGAATAGTAGAGACCCTGAACTATAGTGAAAGTTTGAGTATGGCACATGCAAAGTGGGATGGAACTGGCTTTCACGTGAGTGGCAGTCCCAGGGCCCTTGACAGGCTCTGGAGAATAGTACCTGTTCTGCTTTCTGCTGGGATAATAGCACCTATATGGCTGGCCTCCATAAGTCCTTGAGGGTGAGAGATGGAGCTATACAGGGAAGAGCCATGGAGCAAGGAGTGCCGGAGTGTTTTTGGGCAGAGGAGGGGATGATGCCATTGCCAAACCTAAGCAGACAAAAGTTACAGTGGGAGCTGGGCACAGGTGGCTTGAAGAAAGGCTGGCTCCAATCAGGGAAGCCCATGGGCTTGAGAAATTGAGGTGCTGAATAAAGCAAAGGAAAGGGGCCAGGCCAGATCAGTGTGGTAGTTGGGGGGGGGGAGAGAGAGAGACCGAGACCGAGACCCCCCAAAGCAGGTTACAATGTGGCCATGTCTGAATGGACAAGCTTCTCTTGAGTGTTTACTTGTCATGACAAAGCCAACTTTGACATCAAGGGGTAGTATGAGACTGGGCCATAAGAGAATGCTGGTAGTGTCAACATACACTCAAGGGAAAGCATCATGTTTTCTCAAAACAGTCCAGTGCAGGCAAGGGGCTGGGAAGAAGCAGAGATGTGAATAAGCTGCATGTGGCCATTGCAAAGTACCAGTCCCCACTTCTGCCAGGGAGCAGGTGCACAGTAAATTCTTGTAGAGGGACTGGAGGAGAAGTCAGAGTGGAGGAAATGGCAAAGTTAATCCTTTAAAAATTAAGCTGTCAGGGATGGCAAAATGGCTCAGTAGGTGGGGAAGATTGCTGTGGGGCCTGATGACCTAAGTTCAGTCCCTGAAACCCACAACAAGGTGGAACAAGATAACTAACTTCTGCAAATAATCTGCATGCATCCCCATATCGTCATGATGCATGCATCGCATCGTTAGAAAGGTTGCAAACTGTAAGCACCCTCTTTAATTACTGGCCAAGGTTACCTGATAATGGCCTTAATGAAATCAGGCTGGTTGGAAGGGCCACAGCAAAACTTAAAGGAAGTAGTGACCATTTTATTGAGAGCAATCAGACTTTTTATACCTTTATCAGAAATAATATATTTGCAATTCAGAGTCAGTAGTAGTAGTTGTCAGGGTACAATGACATTTGCAAACTGTATAGGACAAGCAAGATTGATGAGGTTAATGTCCAAGAACAGTTGTCCTCTCAAGTTCCCATGCCTCCTTGGCTACTGAGGGGACACACAGAGAAACAAATTGGCGTGAGTGTTTCGTTGCCTGGGGGGAGTGTGTTGGTCTCAGGAACGAGAAGGCATATTGTGCCCCCCGAAGCCATGGACTCTAACCTGAAAAACCTATGATGCATGCCCCTGGGCCAAGCCAACTCCATGGTTCCCTGCAGAGAACCACTGCTCTGAAGTGATGTGGGCCAGAGAGACGATACCTGCTTTTTCAGTCTGTTAGTGGTGCTACTCACCATGGCCAAGTCGATGATCCATTTCTGCAGGCTGAGGATGAACCAAGAAGACACAAATCTGGTCAAGTGCTAAGGGACCCAGCAATGAGTCACTGATAGGCCAGGCCGCCCCTCCCATCTTGTCCTGCACAGACCAAGCCAGACCACAGAGGGTGACACAGAAGACAAGGTATCATGGGGGAACTGTTCTGCTGGACAGTGTGTAGTTTGGGAAAGATGCAAGGTGTTTCACATGAACATCTGCTCTGAGTTAAAAGAACAGGAAAATTATGGAAGAAAACACACAGACCTGTGTTCACACACTGTTAATATAGGACTGGAAATATAGGGCTATAAGAGTGGTTTTCTTTCCTTTTAATAAATAATTTTTGTTTTATGTGCATTGGCATTTTTGCCTACATGTGTGTCTGTGTGAGAGTGCTGGATCCCCTGGAACTGGAGTTACAGACAGTTGGGAACTGCCATGTGAGTGCTGGAAAGTGAACCCCGGTCATTTGGAAGAGCAGCCAGTGCTCTGAACCACAGAGCCATCTTTCCGGCCTTCCCTATCTGCTGGTTTTCTGACCATGGGGACATCTCTAAGTCACTGTTAAAATTAAGCACTTAGGAAAAAGGTCCAACCTTGCAAAGGAGAAGTGTTCTACAAAACTAGAGTGTTGTGTGTGAGGATTTTACTGAAGCCTCACCCCTTTCCCACTAATTCTGTTGTAAAAGCACACTAGTTGGGGTATGCAGTGGGAGGTAAGGAGGAACCACTTTCCATCTGGCCTGTGCAGGAAGTTCAGTGACTACATGAAACAAAAGGACCCAACCAGAGCAAAAAGATCAAGCTATGAGGGCGGGGGGAGGGGGACAGTTGGGGCGCATGGTCAAGTAGCAGTGGCTGGGAAGAACTAGTCACTTCCCACTACTTGGCCTTGGGTTTCCTTCATTGCCTTGTCCACCTCTCACATGCTGTCAGCATACAGAAGAAAGCCAAAGGTAGCTGAAAGCAATGGTCACATTAAGTAGGTGAAGAGATGGCCTATCCCAGGAGGCAGCAATGGCCAACATCCAGCTATGCTAAACGGATTAAAGCATTCTCTATGCAAAGTGTAGTGGCACAAGCCTGTAATCCTAGCATTTAGGAAGTGGAGACAGAAAGATGAGGAATTCAAGGTCATCCCCAGCTACATAGAGATAAAGGCAACACCTCTTTGAAAATGACCTCAGAGCAGAAGTGGATCACAGCTATGCTCTCCCTCTTTCTATGGAGGGAGGGGGATTTTAGCCAGGGGTTTAATAGCAATCCGAGACAGTTTCTGGATTCCCTTGGGCCTGTCACTGTTAAACGGGTGTGTGTCCATGTCATGAAGGCAGCAGGATTAACTGCCACTACCATGCAAACACTTTCTTGCCCTTTTAAGGAGTATGAAATTCAAGAAAGTGAACTAAATCTGACATGAAATCTCGCCCTTTGCATAGAAGATTCCACTGAGTGGCACAATCTGATGGCTGGCCATTCTGTACTTTTAAGCCTTCAAACCAACACAGCCACCCAGATGACAAGGCTCAGCCTCTCAATTACAGTTTTGCATTGGTGTATGATTAGTGGAACCCATCCGGCCTGTGCTTACCGCCTGAGAGGCACCTGCCAGGTGCATTCTGCATGGGACTTGGTGCCAGGAACACTCATGTTATTAATCCCCTGGGGTCATGCTCTTGGAAGGAAGGAAGGAGTGTTCAAGATAAGCACTCCAGGTGGAGCGTGTTCTTAGGATGACTGCACATTTCTCTTGTTCAACAGGGACACAGCAAATCTACACCCCACTGGGTCTTGGAAGGCATTGGGCCATCCTATTATAGGGATACCTCTGGCAGCCACTGTACTAACCTAAGGTATATATCAAGACTAGAATTTGTGATTCTCAGCGCAGAGGACAAAATCCAGAGCCTCTTGTGTGCCACAACTGAGCCCCCTTCCTTAGCCCCCTTCCTTAGCCCCTCCATCTCTGTCTCCAGCTCATATGCAGGAAGGATACACTGCCATGTAGGGCAAGGCTTGCTTCACATTCCCATTGAAATGAAAGACGAAGAGCAGGAGGACAATGTCTGAAAGAAGAGGCTCTGTGAGATGGGCAGGGCAGCAGATGGGAAGGCTGGGGACTAGAGGGCCAGTTACCTTGTGCGATGAGAATGGGGTATTCCAGGTAGGTGAGCAGTGGGTTCCCATAGTAATGCTGATAACGAAGGAAGACCAGGAACCTGCAGACAAGAGGTGCATATATTCACAGCACATCCTGTGCCTGACCCCCCAGGCCCCAGACACTGGCACATTTACCCAATGCTAGCCTATGTGGTCTTCATCATATGTGTGATTGACCTGAGGATAGACCTTCAGGAATATTGCCAGAGTCCCATATGGTGTGTCTAATAGTCCTTGAGCATCAGCCAACACCTTCAGGGTTACCTACACTGCCTTCCACATCATAGGGATCACTTGGAGAAACTAAGGTCCAAAAGACAAGGCCATGTGAAGACCCAAGGGTAAGAGTCTCACCAGGAGATGTTGCTCTAGTTCTGGTTGTTAGGCTTTTGGGGGACCCCTGTGCCCTGGGGATGGTGCATAATACTTCTCTGTTTTTAAGGTTTCTCCAAAGCAATGGAGTCAACCAGGTATGGAGTCTCTGGTGTCATTAAAGTAGGCTCTGGCCAAGATCCAATTCCTTCAAATCATGATTTTAGAGTTTGAGCTCTCAGGTTGAAATTTAAGGAGGGCCTATTGACAGTGGTACCCTTTAGCGTCTTCCTGAGGCCTCAGAGACCATCTGGCTGGTGAGGGGCAGGCAGGCAGGCAAGCAAGGCCCAGAAGGGAAGCAGAATTGTAGTGACCACCCTAGCCATGCAGGGAGAAGGAGGGGGAAGGGAGCTGAAGAAGGGAGGGAGGAGTCAGAATGTAGACCGACTGGATCCGGCTAGGTTGCCCCTCCTATTCCTATTGTTCCTACCTCTGGATTAAAACAACTTTGACCTAAAACTGCTTGAGGATTAAAGAAGGAATGCGTGTTGGGGCTCCAGAAGGACCTTCAGAAAGTTCTCACGAACTAGGAACCATTGTCTTAAACTGCTGGCGGAAGTAGGGATAAATAACCACTAGATTTCAGTGGTGAGCATACCTTCTGACTACAGCTGGTCTTAACCCTGCCAAACCTCGAGGGGAGGAAGGGAGCCCTTTGTGAGTTCCAGAAAGCCTACTATCGACACCACTATCGACTGCAAGACCCTTCCGGATCCCAGGGAACATTCCATGGCCAGAGCTGCTTTCTGCTGGGGTCAGCTATTGGATTTGAGACCATCTCTGGTTGAGTTTACGTGTTTAAAGCCAGGCAGCAAAGAGGTAGCTACAAGCAGAGTACAAAGATGTTGCGTTGGCGCTCTGTAGGCATCCCTGAGCTTTCTAATCAGTCCTGGACCCTGAAGCCTCAGCTTCAGATGCCCATGAAGAACTTAGCAAACCAGAGGTCACATAGCTCTCCTGACTTCACACCCGCAAACTCTGCCCCAGCCAGGCTGTCAATTCTGCATCTTTCACTCTGTCTTTTGCCTCACGCTGACAGTATCTCCCTTCTCGGAAATGCTTACTCTTGTTCTATGCAGCCAACGGACTAGAGACCCTCCAGAGCCCCGCCTACCATCAAGCATCCCTGGAAAGGTACACCTTGAAGCACTGCACCCCTTCCCTTCTATCAGACGGGCGCGCCCCACCGAATGGACGAAGGACCATTGGGTGCGGCTGGTTTCAAACCGAAGGCTCAGCCTGGTTCAAGATCATGGGACCTGTTTTCCGTTTGGTTTTTCCAACCAAAGTTTTACAACTTTGCCCCTTACTCTTAACTACATAGCCAAGGCTACCGAGACCTTGACTCCTGCAGCAGTCACAGCCCATCCCTAAGTGTTGGACCCCAGCCCAATTTTCAAACGTCGGCCCAAGTTCCCCATCTTTCTCCCCACATGGAATCATCAAATCTTGTAACTCAAATAGCCTAACACCTGGTTTACAGGCAGGAGACGAGGCAAGAAAAAAATGTGAGTAGTGCTGGGTGAGGTTAGGGATGGTAAGAGACTGAAGGTGCAAATGGTTTTGCCCGCAGCCAAAAGGTTGTCGTTAAGGACCTGTGTGTGTGTGTGTGTGTGTGTGTGTGTGTGTGTGTGTGTGTGTGTGAGTGACTGACTTCGCTGAATCTATAAAATGGCCATGCTCTGGCAAATCCTGAGATTTGGGAAGAAGCAGGGGAGTTGGGTGGGAGCGCCCGGGAAAGCACCTCCTAGCCCCGATCCTCCCCCCACCCCCGAGTTAACCCTTGGTTTCCCAGGCTCCCAATTCCTCGCAGGCCTCCCAGTACCTTACCCGGCCAGCTCCAAAAGTAAACTAGGGAGGCTGATGCCCCGCGCGCTGCGCGCCGCCAACTGCGCGTAGATCTGCGGCAGCTTGAGTAAGGCGCACACGCCCAGCGTGCTCCAGTTGCAGAACCATAGCAGCCCGGCCTCCATTCTGCAGTCACGGGCGTGCCGGGCCAGGGGGCTTCAGGATCTTGTAGGTGAGAACCCGAGGCTCAAAGTCTAAAGAGTCCTTCCGCCTTCCCGCTGGCCCGGCCCCGCCTCGACCCGCCCTGAGCTGCTGCGCTGCGAGTGCGCTCCGCCCAGGCACCACGCCCCGAGTCAGCTCAGCTCCAAGCGCACCCCTCCCGGAGTTGGCTTGGCTCCGGATGCTCCCGCTGTGCTCTGCTACGCTCTGCTCTGCTCTGGGTGCGCACTACCCGGTGTCTGCTCCGCTCCGGGTCCTCCCAGCCCCAGGGCGGTGGTTCTGCTCTGCCCTGCCAGGCTCTGCCAACTGCTGATTCACTTTCCGAATTCCACCCACGAGTGACCCTCCTAACGGAGTGGAAACGCCGAAACAGACTAGCCTCCTTGGGGCGGCGGGGGGCGGGGGGAGGGGAGAGGGGGTTGGGTGGGCCCAGGGCCTATCCCCGAGGACATTCTGTTGAGATTTTCCACTCTCTACAAATTATCTTTTTTTCTTTAGAAATTAAAACTTTTAAAGCCCTTGGCCCAACCTTGTCAGCACCCTTCTAGTCTTACAAGGCTAGAAAAGCCTGAGGACTCTGAAACCCAGCCACCACGGAACTAGCCTTCTGCTTGTGGGGAGGCTATTCTCAGTGAGCTTGCTCATTGTGTGTGTGTGTGTGTGTGTGTGTGTGTGTGTGTGTGTGTGTGTGTGTGTGT